CTAACCCAGCGTTCTAGAATGGTCATGGACCAAATCTTTAGAAGTCTTGGTTAATACAGATCTCAGTTCACAGGGTCTGAAGTGGAGCCCAAGAGCCTGCATTGCTTATAAGCTCTCCCATGCTGCTGCTGCTGGCAATGCAATGGTGGTGGGATCTCTGGGCCACACACCGAGTAGCAGGGCAATGTCATCCTTTTGGCAATTGATGAGGGAAGGAAAGAACATTGGAGTAGACTACATTCAAAGTAGCTTTATTTTAAGGCTATGTTGAACTGTATGAAATCACTGACTTTTATGGATCAAGAGATCAACTTAAGGCAGGCAACTCCTCAACCAACTTCTAATGTCGTTGTGTGCCATCAAGCCAATTGCAGCCCACAGCAACCCGATGCACAACAGAATGAAGCCCTGCCCAGTCCTGCGCCATCCTCACATTGGTTCCCATGTTTGAGCCCATTGGTGCAGCCCCCGGGTGAATCCGTCTCACTGAGACCTTCCTCCTACTCTCCGCCCCTTGACTCTGCCGAGCATGATGTCCTTCTCCAGGGACTGGTCTCTCCTGACAGTATGTAAGTCTCCTCTGACATCCTGGGACATTTTGTAACTCCTAATAGGAACCAGAATGTGCGATCAGAATTCTAGCCAGCTTCTCTGGAACAGAGGAGGAAGACTTCAGATCAAAATCGTCAATGTTTCCATTTTAAAGCAGAGCACAGCCTCACTTCCGTGACCTTCTCCGACAGTCCCAGCTCCGGCCGAAATCGCACTGTGTGGGCCAGCGGATGTCCCTGGGGACTCCTCCCAGCTTTCTTCTGACTTGCACGTGGGGAGAGCATCATTCCGCCGGACGACCTTCCGCTCCCTGCTCTCCATGGCCTCTTCCTTAGAATGTGCTGACCAGCCAAGGCGCACTGTGATGCCCTGGCACATCCCCGGTGCTTTTGTAGGTCACCGCTATCAGGTGGCGAGAACTTAGCAGATGGCTGGGGTGTGTTTTGACTTTCATTAAGAAGCTGCCTCAACATGGAAGGGAGGTGCCAAGTCCCCCGCGGCTCCTGGTTCCTCCACGTGGCTTCCCTTCACCTTCACAATTTCCTGGCTGGGTGGGAGTGGGGGCACGGGGAGAGGGCAAGACAGTCGATGAGAATGAGCCTGACACCCCTGCCAGGCATAAGCCCCGCATGGCAGCACACCGGCCCCGGCCCCGGCCCCTGCCTCTGCCTGTGGATGCCCTTCTGAAGGCAGAGGAGCTGCTGTGGAGCATCTGCCTCATTGACAGAACGCGCAAGAAGCAGTGAACACATCAGGCATTTCAAGTTTAGAACCCACGTGTGCTCCCTTCATGAGAAGCTCCAGCCTCTAGCCGCTCAGGAGGTCTTTGGTGTCCAGGGGCCTTCTAGGTGCATGGGCACGGACGGCCTATTGATGGGCACCATCCTCAGCTCCAGCTGCCCTCAACACATACCAGGGACCAGGGACCAGGGCCACCGCAGAACCAGTAAATCAGGACGGAGGGCAAGCAGGATCAATGTTTCGTGGGGTTGGTTTGTTTTTAATGGGAGTAAGATTTTTAACCATTTTCAAAGGTACAATTCATTGGGCATAAATTCTGTTCAAAAAGTGGTGAAACCGTCACCACTATGTAGTCCCTAAACATTGTCATCGTCTCAAACAGCAATGTTATGCTTTTTCCATAATGGCTCCCCGCTTCCTAGCTTCCCCGGCCGCTAGTCACGACAGGCCCGCTCGCCGTGTCTCTTAATTGCCTAGTTAGAGATTTGCTGTCGGTGGTGTCCCACAACACCTGCTCCTTCTTCGTGTGGCTCCTTTCACTTAGCACAGTGATTCCACCGTCCGTCCAGGTGCGAATTTCTATGGAACGTCCTTCCTCTTTAGGGCTGAGCAATAGTCCATTGGGTGGCCAGGCGGCATCTTGGTTATCACTTCATCTATTGGGGGACACATGAGGTACCCCGTCCCTGGGATGATGTCAATAGTGCCACCATGCACCTGAGTGTACAGGTATCTCTTCGAGGCCCAGCTTTCAAGTCTTTGGGAGTATATCTATGGAAAAACCAACCAACACACAACTCACTACCATACCGTTGACGCCCATTCATAGCAACCCTACAGGACTGGCAAGAACGTCCCCTGTGGGTTTCCAAGGCTGGAACTCTTTATGGGAGTAAAAAGCCCTATCTTTCTTCTGCAGAGAAACTGGTGGTTTTGAACTGCTGACCTTGTCGTTAGCAGCCCAACTCATAACCACTGTCTATGCGGGAATGGAACTTGGGAGTCTTGTGCACCACTAAATTACAGGCTGTGGTTTGAGTCCACCCACCGCTCGATGGGCGAAGACCGTGGCAGACAGCTTCTGTAAAGGTCACAGCCTGGGGAACCCCGTGGCGTTTCCTGCAGGGCCCTGTGGGTCAGAATCCACTCAACGGCGGTGGGTGGGTGGGTGGTTGGGTGGGGTAATCCTAAGTTTGACTCTGGGAGGACCGACAAATGGTTCTCCACAGGGAGGGCATCAGAATACATCCCCACCAGCAATGGATGAGGGATTCAGCTTCTCCACATCCTGAACATTTTGTTATTTTCGTTTTTTCCCCATAAGAGCCATTTTAGTGGGTGCAAAGAGGCAACTCATTGTGGTTTTGCCTGAGTGACTTCTAAACTGGCCCCCACTCCCCATGGCCAAGGTGAGCTGGACACACGGGCAAAACCAAACTCACTGCCGTCGAAACAGTTGCTACTTAGAGCAACCCTGTAGGTTTCTGAGGCTGTAAATATTTACAGGAGTAGAAAGCCTCATCTTTCTACCTTGGTGGGGCTAAGGGGTTTGAACTGCTGGCCTAGCAGTTAGCAGCCCAATGCACAACCACTATGCCATCAAGACGCCATGTACAGTATGCGTGATGCACAAGGAGAGCAGTAAACAGCGGTGTTAGCCAAACAGGGTTTACATAGCTCAAGGAAAGAGACCGCTTTCCTCAGCTGTGGAGGTACTCAACTTCCAAAACAGTCATTTCATCGTTTCTTTTTACAAATGCAACACGGAATATGGTAAGAGCCAACATGCTCTCTTCCTTCCAATGCCAGCAGCCCTGTTTTTACACTCATTGCCTTCTCAGAGTCTCCATCTGACACCACCCGTCTGTGAAAGATGCTAACACTGGTGGGAAGGAGCATGCTGGGTTTGTTTATCAGGGCTGAGGACGGGGGACAAGGAGCCAGCCAAACATCAGCCAGAAAGAAGGTGGTTCAATCTGTGCTGGGGGCACGGGCCATGGAGAGCACTGCAGGGGGGAAGGAGACTCGGTAAACCTGGAAGGCGACCTAGAGAGACACGTGACTGTTACATTCAGAGCCAGGAAGTTACAGAATCACATTTATTGATGATTCAGCTTCTGTTGCTTTTCACTCCGTGTGTGTGTGTGTGTGTGTGTGTGTGTGTGTGTGTGTGTGTGTGAGAGAGAGAGAGAGAGAGAGAGAGAGAGAGAGAGAAATCACCCAAAGCAGTGTCTGCGAGGATGGATACCACCCTCTTCCTCATCTGACTCTTGGGCAGGGATGAGACGGAAGTGGAGAGACAATGTGACTTCTTTGGGTTTGTTGGCTTGTTTTCGTTTTACTATTTTTTTATAGCTTTATTGGCATCTACGTCACTTACATCATTTGATCGTTCAGTAATATTAAGAAGATGTGTGCAATCCTCACTTCAATCAATTTCAGAGCATCTGTGTCTCATATTCATTGTTGTTAGCTCCCCATTCACCACTCCTACCCCCAACCTCCTAGGCAATTATCAATCCAGTGGACTGTCTCCAGAGAACTACCCGTCCTGGATTTCCTATACAGAACTCATAGCAAGCACCAACAGGAAAGAAATGTTTGTATTTACTAAAACCTTACAAAATGGATACCTCCGAATTAAGAAGAAACTCTGGTCTTAAAAGCCACACCTCGGGGACAAATTCTGAGGAGACACGATCAAACCCATTTTTCAGAGGACACGATCAAGGCGCCGTGAGATGGGATAACTCGGTCATGTGGCCAAAATGTGATGGGCATTAGTGTGAAATACATGTTTCACCATTTTTAATGGGTTTTAATTTTTATTGGAGTTGTAGGGGGGAAACCTAGCCCTGACTCAGGACTTCTGCTACCCGTGGGGCCTGCCACCCACCAGGTGCTCCCCAGAGGGTGCGAACCCTCACCCAAGGGATCTGGAATCAGAGCCACCAGATGACCCAGAGAAGGCTGAGGTGCTGGGCCGGGGCTGCTGTCACCGTGCTGACCGGGACCTTGGCCTCCCTGCTGGCCTTGAGACTTTGAGGAAGACTTTGGGGGCAGATGACAGCTGCTGATGTGTGCTGGAGTGCAGGGCAGCTCTATTCCTAATTCGCAGAACTCACTTCAGCGACACATCACGGGAGACTGTCTGTTCCCGTGAAGAGTGACAGTCTTGGAAACCCACAGGGCCCCTTCTTCCTCGTCCTACAGGGTCGCTATGAGTCGGGACTGACTCACTGGCAGTGAGGTGAGGTCCCAGGATGGGGCCAGGGCCAGAGGAAGCCGGGGCTTATGAGAGGCACACATTGGGCTGCTAACTGCAAGGCAGCGGTTTGCAATGGGCGGCCACTCCTCGGGAGAAATATCAGGCTGGCTTCTCCTGCAAAGAGGGCCGGTCTCATAAACGGACCGGGGGCGTTGGACCCTGCCCTCCAGGGGTGCTATGGGTCAGCATCGACTCGATGGCAGGGAGTTCGGTTTCGGGTTGTTACCAGAAAACATTCACAAGTGGGTTCTGGTATGTTTGTGTGTGCACCGATAGACATCCGTCCCTTTGTATAGATGTTCCCGGACACATGTAGCTCTAAGAGACCTCCTTCCTGATGACACCCTTTACCGTTCCCCCGGGAGGAAGGCAGGGCCGTGGGGCCGCACCCCGTGTCACGCTGGGTTGCTGACTCTTCTCACTTCTTCCCTCCCTCCAGGTGCAGCTGATCCACTATAACCATGAGCTGTATACAAATGTCACGGAGGCTGCCAAAAGTCCGAATGGCCTGGTGGTCGTTTCTATCTTTATAAAAGTAAGTCTCTTGCATTCCTTCCTGTCTTCCTTCTGCCAGCCCCACCACAGTCAGAGCGTGGGTGGACCGTTTCTGTTAGACCTTCGACATCCGGGAAGGGGTGGGGCCCTTGATGTCCACGCCCAAGACCCACGGTAGCATGGTGGCATGGGGATGATGGGAACGTGAGCATTCATCCCAGACCTACAAGAGCCGCGATTTCCATTTCCGGTCACCGTGGCCAGACGGATTCAGGAACCACTGTCCCAGCAGCGCCCATCTCCGCCCAGGAGGGTGTGTAGTCACTGGGCGCTGAGTTCCTGAGTCCGGGAATGTCATCCTAGAAGCGCAGGCGCATTACAGCTAGCAGGGTGATTGATATACCAACAGCCAGGCTGCTGGCTCGGGGCCTACGTTTCACAAGCTTGTGCAGGAAGGCTGGTTCCTCTGTGGTCCCCGGCTAAAGGCCAAGGCTCCCTACGGGGTGGGACGCTGCTGCCTCACACCCCGAGCTCAGTGGAGGGATGGAGCCTTGTTCCTGCATCGTCTCAGACCAACTTGACTGCTAGGGATACGCCTGGTCTCTCCCTGAGCAAACCGGAAGGCTTCAGGCTACATCTCAAAATCGGCCACAGCATTTCTCTCTTGGTCCAATGCAACCAACTTCCAGCCTTTCTGCTCTGAGTTACCCAATCTGGGCCTTGTCATCTCCTTAAAACACACCAACCCATCCCAAAAGGCAGACGGGAACAGAGCCCTTGGTCCCTAAGGGGGCACAGCCCCTCAGAGCCACCCTCTCCTCCTGCAGGCCTCTCTATTCCCTGCCCAGTTTCCCGAGGTCAGCAGACCCTAGCGATGACCTCATCAAAAAGGGAGCCACTGGATGGCTGGGAGGTGTTGGCCAAATATGAGAGATTTGTCCATCTGTGGGTTTGATTTCTCTCTGGGCCCCACGCGTCCCCACCCTTTCCCTGACCACAAGGAGCTGAGATTTGGTTGTGATTGCTGCCCGATCACACACCATTAACTTCCCACTTAAGCTCACTTAGGCCAAATACATATTTTACCCTCTCTGCCACGCAGCCCACACACTCTAGCCTGCAAATCACCTGTGTGCACGATGGGAAAACGTCCGTGTTTGGTCCTCAGAGTCCAGTTAGCTGTCAGCCTGGCCAGACTCTCCAGGTAGCAGGAGCCCAGAGGTTTAAGGGATGTGGCAGATTCCTTACCCAACACAAGAACCTTTTAAAATTCGTTTTTGGCCCTTTTTTCATGGGGCTTCATCGGCATAAACAGGAGCCTTCCAGCTACCTATAAAATGGCCGAAGAGATGTCGGAGTGGATCTTGGCCCTGAAGGTGGCAGGGCGCCACCGTGGTGGATTTGGGGGCTTTTCCTCTTCACTGAGTCTTGTCGCTCTCCAAGCTCTGCCCGGTGTGTGTCCCGCCAGGACCCACCCAGGAAACTGAGAAAGGGACACATGTAGGGAGCATGAACAGCGTGTGCTTTCTCCACACGTCCATGACCAGTTTCTAAGTCTAGTCACCCGCATCAGCTGCCACCATGTCTGCAGCCCTCTGAAAAGGCCGATGCAAGGCTTGCTGTGTCACCACATCTGGCTAGCGGCTGAGGCGCCAAGACAGCAGAGCCCAGCCAGGCAGCAGGCAGCAGAGATGAGCAGTGGTCCCTGCGGAAAGGCTGCCTGAAAAGGGAGTTGAAATAAAAGCCATGCCCACAGTCATGGGAGAAGGGCTCACACTCGGAACGGTGGGTCCCTGGCCTCATCCTCTAGCTTACCTGGTACTCCCAGAGAAAGCCTGGGCGAAGAATGGAGACCAAGCCCTTAACGTCTGGGACACTGTTGAGCCCGTAATAGGCACTCAGTAAATATGGGGTGGCTGGATGGCTGGATGGATGCAGGATGGATTAAGGAGTGGTTTATGATAGATTCCATCCATACAGTAGGGATAGAAGATTTTTTATCTCCCGATGATCTCTGTTGTGGCGACTCTTTTCTTAAAACTTTTTATTTTAGAATGGGTCAGGTTTACAGAGCAGATCAGCTCTTCGTTCAACAATTCCTACAAATTTCACTCCAGGACACTGATTGCCATCCACTCACGTACCCCACTACCTGCCAGTATTCCCCACATTCCTTCCTCCCTTCCCTCAGCTCCAACTACACTAAAGATACTGCGGCTCCCTAAACATGACCAGGTTTCCGTCCTCCGAGTCCAGGGGTGTGCAGGACCTCTGCGCTCCACATTTCCCCCGTCCTCCCCACTTCCCCCTCTACCACCAAAATGCTTTGTTAGCTTCTACCCATCCCTCAGGACTAAGCACATGCCGTCGCTGCTCAGTTCCCCAGCGGGGTGAGTATTCCTCTCGTACTACCATTTGACCATAACCCTACCGGTGAAACAGTGACACACTCAACTTCTAACTACAAGGTGGGTGGTTCAAATCGGCCCAAGCACTCGGCCGGAGAAAGACGGTGATCAGGAAACCCTCTGGATGGGCTCTGCTCTCTCGCACAGGGGGCTCCAAGTCGGAACAGCAATCACAACTCCCAATGCCGCATTGTAACCGTCTGCTTGGCATGCAGTAGGCCCTCCACAATCGAAATGAACCCGTGGGTGCGTGAAGGTGAGGCTCAGCCTGGCATAGGACACTGCAGACACTGATGGTTTCTTTTCTCCCCTAGGTTTCTGATTCATCAAACCCGTTTCTTAACCGAATGCTCAACAGAGATACTATCACAAGAATAACATATAAAAGTAAGTTGGATTCCATTTCCTGTACAGCAACTAATCTATAAACGTTAGTCCAGCCTGAAGGCAGGGAGCCAGAACTGAGGATCTCTCAGGGCCCCTTTCGGCTTCATGATCCTTTAATTCTGTAAAAAGTCACTCTGGAGAGGCAGAGTCGGCTAAGAAGCAGCTCATTTCCGACGGAAGTCCCCAGGGTGCCTTTGTCATCCACGCCTGTCCAAGATGATAATGATTATGATGATGGTGGTCATCGCGGTCCTATGGGTTGGTAATGAGCTGGGGGGCTCAGCTAACTGACGTGTCAGCTGGCCCACAGTTGGCGCTTTGCCAAACGTGATTGCAAAAGCTTCCGCCAGGTCCTTTGCGTCCCGCCTTAACGCTCACAAAGGTCCTCAGCATTGTCAGGCCTCCCTCTCCGTACCCCAGACTCCCCTCCTGGTACAGACCGGCTGGCACTTTGCTCCGTTCTCATGTGTGATCCTGGGGACTCTGTCCACTTTCTTTGGGTCCCCAGAACTGTTTTTTTGTGGTTGCTGTAGTTGTTGTCATTGTTTAATCTTAAAAAGAAATGTGATGATGGTGCAAAGGTGAAGGGGGGAAAGGAGGGAATTTCAAGCCCTAACCTGGTTCTTAAGCAAGAAATTTCTCTTCCCCCCTTCAGTCTCTGATGCCTCTTTGATGTTGAGCTCCAAGGATTCTAAGGTCCTTCTAGGTCTATGACTCTCAATCAAGCAATAAGTAAATAATGACTTTAGCAAACATCAAAACCAGCATGCCAACGTTCTGAGACCTCCCCTCTACCCTCATGGCATGTCCCACACCATCTTGTGCCCACGGCTCGTGTCTCTGCTGGTGATGAATGAGACCAAATGCGTGCCCACAGCTGTCAGGGCAGACTGCTCGAGGGGGAGAAAGAAGGACTTTGATTTATTCATTCAGGCAAGAAACAATTGAATAGTGGGCACCAATCAACGTTCCAGAAATGCAGAGGTAGGCCAGACACACTTTGCCAATCATGTCCTCACAACCAGGTCCCTCCCACCTGGAGAGGTGGGCAGGGGTGATGCATGAACCTGGGGAGTCACCCCGAGACAGACATCACCAAGAACAGCGGTTCTCAACCTGTGGGTCGCAACCTGTTTGTGGATCGAACGACCCTTTCACAGGGGACACCCAATTCATACCAATAGCAAAGTTATAGTGATGAAGTAGCAACAAAAATAATTTATGGTTGGGGGTCACCACATGAGGAGCCATATGAAAGGGTCACGGCATGAGGAAGGTTGAGAACCAGTGCCCTCGAAGAATGAACGAGTTCTCTCCCAAACCATCCTCCCTTCTCCATCAGTATTCCAATGCGTCCTCCCCTAAGTACACACTGAGATTGCTCGGCTCAGGGAGAGAGTACTGTCTCTTGTGTAAATAGCACATTTTATAACTGCCCATAAAAGATGATTATTCTTTTAACTTTTTGATTTAAAAAAGCATGAAAATTAAATTAAATGTCTTCAAATAATCTTGAATTTTCAGCTTAGAGACCGTGAAAAGCCCTGAAATCTCACAATTAAGCCCCAGCACACAAGCTAACAGATTGCCAGCAGCTCAGACACTCATGGGTGGCACCCCCTCCCCCCCGCCCCCCACCTCCCTGCTCTCCGCACTAGTCCCATTAATATAAGGGGGCTTCAAAAAGTACATGGGGAAATGGCCTTGAAAGATCAAGGATTATTTCCACGAACTTTTTGAAGCCCCCTCCTATTAGACGATGCGGCTACGGCTCAAGGCGGGAGCCAACACTTACAGGGGGAAAGTGGCCTTTCTTGGGACCAGGGATCAACTCTGGAGAGTCAGGGTAGCAAGGCTTGTTGGGGCCACTGACGGATGGCAATTCTGTGGCTAAAGATGGCGTCAAGGCCGTCTACCTCAAACGGGACATCCCTGAAGACTACCACCCCATCAAGGCCATGGGGATCGGGAGGAGCACACTTGAACCATAGCCTTGATGAAGAACATTGTTAGAGCAAAGACATTCATCCGTCCGTCCATCCATCCCTTCATTCCACGGATATTTGGGTTTTTTATTTTAATAAATCATATTATTGGGAGCTCTTACAGCTCTTATAACAATCCATACATCAGTTGTATCAGGCACACTTCTCCATATGTTGCCATCATCATTTCCAAAACGTTTTCTTTCTGCTTGAGCCCTTGGTTTCAGCTCCTCTTTTTTCACCCTCCCACCCTCGTGAACCCTTGATCATGTATCAGTTTTATTTTCATGTGTTACACTGCACTCCACAGATATTTGTTGTCCACTGAGACTGGAACCCGCGTACTGTCCATGAGAGGTCCCCAGACCTTAGTCAGGAACAAGACGTGTCACAGAGCCCCATACAGAATTGCGGTTAAGACGTAAAACACTGCAAATCTGAACGGAACTCTTTGGGAATGACAGAGAAGAAAACAGCCAAGTCTGCCAAGGATTGGTTGGGGAAGATCCACAGAAGGAAGGGCTCTTCATCAAAGGGCTGGATCCCTGAAGACTGCTGGGCTGTAGAAAGAAATGGGGAGGGCAGAGAGGAAGAGGGAGGCAGAAAGCAAGGCGGGAGGAGGAAGCACAGAAGGAGCACCCCATGCTAAGCGGACCCCCTGGAGAGCGACAGGAGGACTGGGAACGTCTGTCTGGGCCATCTCTTCATCCAGAGACCCAGCAACCACCCGGGGGAACGAGGGGGAATGAACACCCTCCTTGGAGTGGGGTGCGGGGAGTGACCGGGCAGGGAGAACACTGGGAAAGCTCTTCTGGAACTGGATCTTGAGGATCTTGAGGCTGGGCTCCGGCGTGTGTGCGGTAGATAGGCAGACACTTTGGAAGACGTGCCCTGCCCCCTCTGAAGGAACGCCCCTCGAAAGGCAACTAGAAGGTGCCAGGGCATGCCCTCTCCATCCGTCCCTCACCTCCCAGGCCGGCAGGGCCGGAGGGAAAGAAAGAACTGAAGGCAGATCAAGAGGCCCTGGCCTGCCTGGGGAGGCTAACTGCTCCAGCCCCTAATAACAGGTATGCGCTCACGCTCCACTCCAGAATAATGCAGTCGCAACCTTTATCACATACCTGAAGGGAGTAACACAGCAGGGATAATGATGGCCCGATCCTGGGGAACGGCCAAGACACATGCTATGCCCAAGACACTGGCAGAAAGGGATTGATTTGCTCAGCAGGAAACCCAAAGCACTCGCAGGGGGAAGCTTCTAGAACAGGAGTCATTCCGTAGGACAAAGCCGCTGCATGGGACACAGGCGGCTGCAAGTCTCTGCAGGGGACAGCAGAGACAGCCGATGCATGCAGGTCGAGAGACACCTGTCAGGAGAATCTGCTGCCATTCTTGTAAGTCAGATGGAGAAGAAACACCGCCTCCCGCCACCCGGACCAACCACCACCGCCTCCCCCTCACGCTGGCGGCCAGCGTCTTGCTGTCAGGACTCCACCAGGGCCTCCCTCTGTGGGCCTTGCTCACCCTGCGCACGCTGAGCTGCAGGAACGCGGAGCTGACTAACACTCGCTGAGCTCTCCCCACAGCCCCGAGGGGGCTGAGCGCTTCAGAGGCAGGGCCATGTTAGTGCTCCCAGAGTGCCCACCTTCCCAGTCAGCAGCGCTGTGCTCCCTGGAGTACGGATGAGGAAGCCGGGAGGGACTCTGAGAAGTGAGCTTACTGGGCCAAGGTCAGGTCTGTGTCATCGGTGTGCACATCCTCAGCGAGCATTCGCCAATACACGTTGTCATCTCACTGCTGCAGGCTGGATGCGGGGGCTCGGCGTCCAACTTCCGACCTGCAGGTCCGCTGGGACAGCTTGCCTCCATGGGACTCATGTT